TGAAGTATCATTATTGAAATCTGAAGAGTGAGCTGACTAGAAAATGTAGTTTGTGGAGCAGTGTGGAGAACCAGATGAAGTTTATTATCATGAGTTTGTAGTTGTATGATTTTCTCTAGCAGTGATTAGCAGCCCAGGTGCAAACACTGAGGAAGCTGAGAGTTCAAGTGTCTAGAGCCTGGGAAGAGGGGGTGTGGGAGAGAAGGAAGGACAAAGGCAGATGGGGTTAGGATACTGGCAAGTGGCTTTTAATGGAAGGCCACAGAGGTGAAGTTAGGTGGGCATGAAATTGAAGTCGGATAGAGGACTGTTGGGTCGGTCAAAAGCAGTCAAAAGAGTGGGAGTAATTGAGTGAACTCGCTGTAACGATACTAGGCCATTTTCCAAGTATAGAATATTTAATTTTATTACTTTAAACACAAAAAATAACCTGGATTAGTGGTTGCAGTAAAGACCAAAAGAAGTTTAATGGATATAGAAAACTCAAAGAAAAGAGAAGACAGGATTCTGGACAGGCCACCCATGTAGACCCAGAGTCATGCAGAAAAATGGCAGAGCTCGGGGTGACTCTGTGTGTGTGTGTGTGTGTTTGTAGGCCTTGGCACATAAGATGACAATTTATAACAAAGTCATTATTTTATTGTGGGTTCATGATACATTTTTTATTATCACACTCCTATCACCATATCTGGCCACTATTTTATACTAGGCACTGTGCTGAGAGATGGCGAGGTTGCAATAAACAAGACATACGAAGTCCTAACTCTCCAGAGGAGTGTGTTCTAGTAGGAGAGACTGACAAAAAGAAAAGAAACAGAAACAAGTAAACAAAGTTGTTGTGGTTTGTAATGAGTTTGTTATGAAGGGAACAGATAAGAGATTGCAGCAGAGACTGATGGGCAGACTAACTTTGGTTAAGATGAAAAAGAAGCCACTTTCAGTTGGTGACATGAGAAGTAGGGAGATGAATACTCCAGGCAAAGGGCTGCTACAACAAAGTGCTACAGACCTGGTGGTTTATAAACAACAGAAATTTATTTCTCACAGTTCTGGAGTCTATGAGAAATCCAGCCTTGGGAAGTCCAAGGTCAAGGCAGATACAGTGTGTGGTGAGGGCCCACTTGCTGACTCATAGATGGCTGTGTCCTCATGTGGTGGAAACAAGAAACAAACTTCCTTGTCCCTCTTTCATAAGAGCACTTATGAAATTCCATTAGGGATCCCATTAAGGATCCCAACAGGGAATGGTTTTGCTGTGTCATAGATTACCATTTCTGATCAGCTTCACCAAGGTATTCTTTCTTGCATCCCAAAGTGATACTATCCATTTTAGATTGTATTTTCATTACTGATGATACCAGAGACTTTGCCTCCCAATGGCTCCACCCCATTGCATTGAGGTTAGGATTTCAACATAGGAATTTTGGGGGGACACAGACATTCTGACCATAACACTAGTCAGGGCTGACACTGATCTGTTACTTGACTCAAGATAGTGTGGAGTGGGAGCAGAGGTGACCCTAGGGGCCCCATGCACATTTGGGTTACATTAATTTTTTTGTTGTGAAATAAATTATACATACCCTAGGGTATATGGAATGTATATGAACCATTTAGAAAGTATAATTACAATAATAAAATAAGCACTCAGAATCCTACCGGTCAGCTTAAAATGAGAACATCACCAGTTCTTTGAAGACTCTCGGGTGAACCTCATCAATTGCATTCTTTCCCTAGGGATGGGTAACCAATCATCCCCTGTCTTGTTTATAGTTTTATTTCACGTATAGCTATCCCCAAATAATATATTACTTTGTTTTGCTTTTTAAACTTTATATAAGTGGAAACATATTCTTATATGAGTTGTTTTTGGCCCCTTTACCATTGTGTTTTGAGGTTTATCCATGTTCTTAAATATACAAGTTTCTTTTCATTAATGTATAATGCTCCATGGTGTGAGTATAAAACAATTTATTAATGCATTCTGACTTTGATGGACATACAGGCTTTTTTCCCCAGGTTTTTTGTCTATGATAAACAATGCTGTTGGAATAATTTCATATCTCCTAGAGCAAGCAATTTCAGATTATACACGTGGGATTGGATTGCTGAGTCATAGTTTATATTCCTCTTCAGTTTCACCAGGGTATGCTTTCTTGCTTTCCAAAGTAATTCTATCAATTTTAGGTTACATGTTTATAACTGATAACACCAGAGACTTTGCAAACTGGAGGAAGAGATATTACCTGGTAGCTACCTATAGCAGTGGCCACAGTGCAGGAAATGGGTGGAGACTCCCAGGCCAGTGGCAGTTTAGTCTTGACATTTTCCTCTTTGTTTCCTTTCTTCCTTCCCTGACTCCCATTCTCAGAAAGGAAATAGCTCTCATCACACGAATGTGTTCTGAAGGCTTTTGAAAAGCTGAGAATGTCAGAAAACAAGAGATTCAAGTTAGAGGCAGAAATGAAAGAACATTCCTTTGCACACAGTTTTCGAGGGTCTAGAATGGCCATCAAGCAATAGATTGGAGTAGGCTGACTTGCAAATGTTTTGCTCAGAATTCCTGGCCCTAGAATGGAAGTGTTTTTTGTAGCCATGAATTCTTATAGTCACAGTAGGACTGACTGTAAGAACTGCATGCTTTCTAATCTCTTGTCCACAAAGGTCATGGGAATCTGGATGTAACCCTACCTGAAATTCTGGTGCCTTGACACGCAGGCCAACCTTACCCTGCATTTCCTACTTACTTTCTACTTACACACCTTCCTCTCTCTGTCCTCTTTTCTCTAAAGGGTCAGCCATGAACCATTCACATTAGAAAAACAGCTTCTAATCCTCACAAGATCCATGAAAAGTAGATATTGTTCCCACATTAGAAATGGGAAAACTAAGGCTCAGAGAAGTGAGTAACTTGCGCAAAATTTCATAGCTTCTAAGAAGCAGATTTGACAGTCAAAGCCACATCTGTCTAAATTCATCTGTTCTCTTTCTCTCTCTGGCTTTCCCTGGCCCTCTAATTCTTGGTATTGTCATTTATAACCATGTGGCTCTTAACAAGTGACTTACCCTGTCTCAGCTTTAGATTAAAATATAACAGTTCACATAGGCACAATAAATGTTTATTAAAAAATGAAAATCACTATATGGACTTACATTCTACTAGGGAGCAATGGTGTGGGCCTGCAAGGGTCGTTCCCTTGATGGTATTACTGTTTTTATATTTATCTCCTAAATCTAAGCTCACAGCCTCTGGCTAAGCATGTGAATTTAGCTTGTTCTACAGCTGATATGTGCCTACTATTAGGTAGGTCTTTGCTATAAAGCATGTTCCAGTGTATTGTTGCTTATCTGTTATTTTACTTTCATACTGTTTTGCCGACTGGGAGCATATTTCCTCTCATAATGGTCACGATTTTTAGTGAAGGCTTTCCCAGAATATGCTGTTACCAACTTACAACATACTCTGGCTCTGATACTTGTCTCAGAGAAGCAGTCAGGCTTGGCAGCACAACCAGCACGCCAATAGCCTGTTCCCTGGGGACACCGCTATCACTGCCTCCCAGACACTTTACCTCTCCAGTTGCACCTCAGCCTGCTAACAGGGGAGTCAAAAGCAGAGAGGAGGCATCAATCGAATGTGGGAAAAATAACAAAATCAGTTTCTAGCTTGATGTGGGTTGGAAAGATCTGTTGCCGCCACCTAAGATGCACCTGGAAGATAAATTATTCAGACTTTTCTCCTGCATAACCTTCTTGCTGCCTCCTATGTCATCACCATCTCACCTGCTTTCCTCCTGCTCTCCTGGGCTGGGGAGAGAAGTGTGCTGGTGGTTCTCCAATGGACCTCTGAAACATTGGGAAGGTCAAGGCTGTGATCTCAGGGGTTGTTCTCTGTAACCAAAAATACGTTACTCTCAAAACAGAAAATTGAAATAAAAGATTTTTAACTCTTCTAATAATTGTCATGCCACATGAAGAAAAATGTTAGAAGCCTTGTGTTTTAGTTCCTGTTTGCATCTGGCTGCCCTATAACACTGTGTCCTCTACTTTAGTAAATAAACTGAGGGGAGCATTCCAAAGAATAGTAAAGATTACAAAGGATGGGAATAGATGAGAGACCAGAGGTTTTACATAGTCTAGAACAGGGGCTAGGACACTTTTTCCATAAAGGACCAGAGAGCAATATTTTGGGTGTTCTGCGTCTTTCCGTCGCTGTCAAATATTACTATTTGTTTTTATTTACAATTCTTTGAGAATGTAAAAAGTAGTTTCAGCTTGGAGTCCATATCAAACTGCATTGCAGGCTGAATTTTGCTTGTAGTCTGCCAAGCAAACTCTAGAAGCTCATTCTCAGTTTTACTATGACAAAATATCATTTTTAAAAAAGAGAGATGTAATATGGCAAGTTTTGAGAGGAAGCAATGAGCAGAAATATTAGGAACATGCATTAATAATTAGGTAAGAATTTCTAGAAGACAGAAATGAAAGGGAGGACAGAGATTATGGGGGAGTAATTGAAAGGAGTTAGGGGTGTGAGAAAGAGACAGATATGGAATGAGAATGGAACAGAGTCTTGAGCAAAATAGAGAATCTGGGAAAATGGAGTAAATGAGGTAGATTTTCTCCTTAGCATACTTAGTGGCAAATATACCCCAGCCCTGCTGTGTAATAGAGTGAATTTGCATGGGTATTTGAGAAAAAAATCTACTCATATCTTGTTTATAACTACAGTCTTCTTTTGACTTTACATGGCAGGTCGTAGGCCTTTACTTGCTTTCCTGCTACCTTCCAACACTGTGGTTTAGCACTTGTTCAGTTAGCTGTTGTGATTTAAAAAGAATGGAACGTGTGAAACACCGCTTGTTGCAGGTTGGCGAGGATTGGTGGGTGGGTGGAAAGGATGTACAGCAATAAATCTGGGCAGCTTTCTGTGGATTGTGAAGCAAATGCACTAATATCAGCCATCTAACTTTTGCCAAACTATGAATCTTTTTTCCCAGATACTTAACTATCAGAAAACACAGATGAAGAAAGAAGAACATCTGAACACAGACTGAGGTAATAGAGAAAACAAGGAAATGAATCTCAGATATACGATGAAGTTGGAAAAGAGAATGACAGGATACTTTTAGCTTGAAGTAATTTGAAAGATACAGACTTCTAAATACCTTAGAAATATTGGATATCACAAGAAAGGGCCAACTTCCCTCAGAATTATGACAAAGCACTGAATTACGAGTTAAGGTCTCTTGGCTTCAGCCTTTAGCCTACTCCTTGTGGTCTTGTGACTTTAGGAAAGCAATTTAGATTATCCAAGTCTCAGTTTTCTCATCAGGGAAATGCAGAGAGTATTTTTTTTATAACGGTGTTTTTATTCGTATGTAAATATTAAAAGGTTTGTCAGCTATAAATAACTATGATAATGACAGAGATTTTATTAGTTTTAGTGTTTCATTTGTGGGTTGACTTTACTCCTGCATAATGGGAGCCTTGAGTGACTTGAGGGGTTTCCAAAGGATTCTCTGCCTGTCATATTTCTCCTGAATTAGACCATGATGAAATGAATAAATCATTTTCATGGAGACCAAAGTTTTTATAGCCTCAGCTTAATTGATTTAGGAACATTAAGATGCAAATGTTATCAAAGACAGGGCTCAACACAACTGTGGACATCTAAACTCTTGACTAACCAGTCACCTAGCAATGTCTGGAGAGAATGGGTCAGAATTGCCACTAAATAGGGTGGCCCAAAGAACTTGGGGTCACCATGAAAATAGTAAATGCCTATCAAGAGAACACCTGAGAGGAGCAAGGCATAAAGAAGAGAGGAAAGGCCTTCTGCAGGTGACTTCACAATTTTGTCTCAGGCTGGTTTGTTCTGCCAAGAACTGAGGACTTTGATAGATGGCGGCCTTTGATCTTTGTTCCTTTGCATTCCTTCTCAGTGCCATTGTTTTTCTGAACAAATGGCTCCTAGGACTGTGTCCCGAGTAATCCTCCTAGAGCAATTGTGGTCTGGAGAGCTAACTTTACACCAGCAAGTCATGCTTCCCATCCAGGGGCCAGTGCTTTCAGACTTACTTGCTTCTAGTTGGGAATGGAAGCCAATGGCATGGGCATGGCTGTGACGCATCTTTTATAGGCCGGGGTGGTTAAAAAGCAGATGCTCTTTCTCCGCTCTCTTTTTCTTGTCAGCTTACTGGATATTGATGCCAGTGGCAATATTGGCAAACAAATCTTGAAGATAGATGGCCAGAGAAATGATGGAAACTGTGTCTGAGTCACTGCTTGGAAGAGAGCCACCAAACCAGGAGCACTTACATCCGACTGGAATGTGAGCAAAACATTCTTTTTTTAGTGTTAAGCCATTGGGATTTTTGGTTGATATAGCAACTAGTGTCACTGAGATTAATGCAACTACTAATATTACTAAACTTTCTCCTGAGATGACTCTGTGTTCTGCAAACTGAGATCTCCTGGCCTTTTTTCTTGATCTGTACCCTTTACTCTTTACCTTCTTTTCCCAGATTCTTTCTGCTTTCTCTACAATCATATCTTCAAATGAATAATGAAATCAACAAAGAGCAAGAGAACAGAGGAGTAATGATTATTTCATTAATTTATTTTATTTTTCTGTTTGATTTGAGTGCATGGGAATAACCAAGAAGCTGGGTAGAAATCAAGGACAGATGTTTGGGGGCTTAAACTCCTGTGCTGGAAGTGGAAAAAGGTGTAAACAGTAAAGGCTTTAAGTTTCAGTGACGTGATTTTAAATTGAGAGCCAAGAGAAAGGATACTTTCTCATCACATTGCATCCATAGGATCAGTTTCTTGTTTATTCCTGACTTTCCAATTGGCAGAGTGCCCTTGAAATGTCAGCTTTTCATTGGAGTGGAGCACCCTGCAGTCATTACCTGATCTATAACATTGGCACAGGACGCTCTGAGAGCGGTTTTTACCCGAAACTAAGCTGTGTGCTGGGAGCCTAGGTATAGATACTCAGATAGGAGAGAAAACTGAGAGTGCAGGTGTTGAAGGAGATCAAAATTACACACACAAAATAAGTAAAGAAAGAACCAAAAATTTAGAAAAACAATGCTTACAAAAGCACATCAAACTGGACTCTGAGATCTTATAATTTTCCCATTTATACTTTTATATAAATTGTGTTCACAGATACACTCATAATATGATCAAGTAGTGTTTGTACCTAAAACGATTGTCACAGTGTGTTATTTGAGCAGTAGTATTGGGTAAGATGATGGCTTCTAAATAAAAATTACTCTACAGTTACCTAGGGATTAAGTGGCTTAAATGGAATTGAAAACATGGTTTTTGAGGGCTCCCTCAATGCTTCCCATCGCCAGTTTATGCAGGCAATAGAGAACTCATTTGTCTTGAATAATTCTTTAGCTTTCCACAGCTGAATATCTTGCTCTTGGGGAAAGATCTTGCTATGATGTGCTGGATTCTGGCTGAGAATCTCTGGGTTTGAATCTTGGCTCTGCCACTTACAATCTTTAGGAGGTTGGTTAAGTTAAATATTTCTCTCTACCTCAGTTTCTTCACTGGTAAAATAGGAACAATCATAGGACTTACCGCATACATTTATCAAAGGGATTAAATGACCTAATAGAAGTAAATTATTGCAAGAGTAATTGCTAAATAAGAATCAGTTGTTGCTAGTGTTGTTTGTCTGTTGTGGGGTAAATGCATTTCCTTCTGTTTGAGCTTCTGTTTGACTGGAACACAGTTGATCATGCCTTCTGACTCCTTCAGCCTTCTCTAGAATGTATTTATAGCGCTGGATGTCCATAACCAGCCTTTCCTTCCAACAGTCACAGCTGGGCTCTAGCCTTTTCTGTGGAGCTGTAATTCCTTCTCCTTCTCCATTTCTCCATTGATTTTTGTCTTCCTTGCAATTGAGTGCTTTCCCCTCAATGGCAGTTTTACACATGCTAATCCAATCTCCTAGATCTGGTTCAAGGGTTATAATAATGAAGGATTTTCATCAATTGGAATAAGAATACTTAGTGCTTAACATTTTTGACAGCCAGCTCTGTGGCCTGAGAGGACAGTTTAGGAGCAAAGACAGAACAATAGCTGTGATAATGACACAGGCAATCACAGAAGGGCAAGAGAACAAGCTGCCCTAGGATGCTTGTGTAAGAAAAATTGCACGTCTTGTCTTCCTAATTAAAAGCTAAAAAATTGACTGAATTGCATATCTAATACATAACATGACTGTACAATAAAAGGAATTATATTCAGTGGATCTTTTACTATACAACTTTTGGTGGCACAATTTTTCAGGATGAAAAGTACTCAAGGAAATCTTAAACTTAACCCAATAGTTTTAATTCTTGATATTATAATTTTGAAATTATTTTATGGATGTTCTAGAATAAAGCAAATAAATAAAGAGGTTAATAACATCAGGATCCAGTGTTTCCAATGTGTGAGAAAAGAAACAAATACAGAAACAAAGAAATTAGGAGGGGGAATAACTCTATAAAATCAAATCTAAGTTGTAAATATTAGTATGAACATAAGATTGTGTATAACATAATGCTACACATAATCTATATAATGTTTATCATGTATTATATGCAATATAATTAATCTGTATAATGTATCTCTAATTTATCTGCATATATTCTATAAGTCTCTCTCTCTCTGTATGTGTGAGTGTGCACGTGTGGAGAAAAAGAAAGAGAGAGGGATAGGGAAACAGAGAAAGACAGAGAGTAGAACACACACACATACACACACACGCACACATAGGGTGGGGGAGAGAATGAAAATAAATGCTTTATCCACTCTGTCCAGTGAAAGAACTTAGAAACCATTATGATCCAGTAGTATTGAGCACACCTGACATTCAGGTATTGTTTTCTAAAATACCATTCTCTAAAAAGAACTAGGGCTCCTTATAGAACTGGCAGATTCTAGGTTTCAGACAGGGAATATTTACAGTGATTTTAAGATCTCTTATTGTATCAGGGAGTTTCTAGAGAACAATTGGGGTCTTGACAAAAGGATACAGCTTGAAGGGGCTGTCACTGACTGAGTTTGGGACAATATGAGCATCAAAAAAATAATGTTTGTGATTGATCATATTAATAAAAATGTCCAAGTCCAAAATGACATTCAAAAAAAGGAAAAAGGGAGAGATAAAATGTAAGATTATTTGCCACAGTAGAGGTTATCAGTACACCAACTCCTTACTCTGAAAATTAGTAATTAAAAGGAAATAATTAAGCTGCTCCCTGTTAGTATTTGTCAGGATAGCTAGGTTATGCTGCAGTAACAAACAACCTCAAAATCTCAGTGGCTCAAAACTGAAGTGTATTTTTCACTTTCACTGAGTGTCTCTCCTGGGGTTACAAGCGTTCTGATTCATGTCATCCTCACTTAGGAAGGCGTCTCATGCTTTTACTCTTTGGCACTCAAACCATCCAGTAAAAGAGGAGCAGATCCTCAGGAGCCATTGCTTCTTTATTTGGAGTTCTGGTGTGAGAGATATGTAATGCCAAACGAGGGACTGGAGCAAAGCACACCAGAGCCACAGCTGGGCCTCAGCCAAATCACAGAGCTGTGAGCAAGAGATCTGCGTCATTATATGCAACTAAGATTCTGGATTGTTTGTTACCGATGCAAAAACGGATTAATACACCCGTTATGTATGCAGAAGGGGGGAAAATACCCCAAACACCAGAATATCGGTGAACAGCCCAAATAACAACTGTATTGCGTTTTAAAGGACGAGCTCTGTGAGCATTGCAGAATATTCTCAGCAAATAAATGTAGAAGGAATAATACCAGTACAAGTCACCATTTTGATATCCTGAAATAGTTGGTTCAGGAAAGAATTATCAATGAATTTTGGAACCGTTAGGTAAAAACTTTTTAGGAAATAGAATATTTGGATGACGCCTCATTACCACCCTACATATATTTGCTCTTTATAATGGGTGAAGTACCCTTTGAAATAAAACTGTCATCATGAAACTACGCCTCACTGATAGTGGACAGCTTGACATTGTGTGCCTCCTGAGGTAATGCATTATGAAGTAACAGCACTGCCTTTGAAGCACCCTTACCTCAAATGTTTTATCTGTGTGTGATCAAGACGTTTGTTCAGATTCCCAATACATAAGGAGTACGGGAGACACAGGTATGTGTTAAACAATGCTATGAGATACAACCAATCAGGAATGTGGTAATTTTATAAAGCTGTTGTTTGAGACTCTTTAACATGCCCATGTCATGGGGATACAAAAGCACAGTCTGTGCTTTGTTTTATTCTGGTTTAAAATTAGCAAAAGATGTAAAACAACTAAATGCAGTGCATAAGCCTTGATTGGATTCTAGTTTGAAAAAGCTAACTACAGATGTGTTTGTTGTTCATTTTGGGAAATTTGAGTATGGCCTGGATGTTGGGGGATATCAGGTATTTTTGATAATGCTTCTGGGTATGATAAAGGTATTGAGGCTGTATAAGAGATTTTTCTTAGTTTAGGAGATGTATGCTGATGTAGTTGGTGGTTAAATATCATGATATCTAACCCGGTTTCACATGCTTCATTAATAAATTTATACAGGGACACATACAGGTAATTTTGCAGTTAAGGCAAAATGTTAACATTTATTGCACCTAAGTGATGGGTATATAATTTATCTTATACTGTCAGATTTAAATTTGAATTTTTTTGTAATAAAGCAGGAAACAAAATGAAACAAGACACTGCATGGGGAAGGGTGTGTGTGTTTGTGTGTGTGTGAGTGAGTGAAATTCAAAGCTGTGCCTAAAATGTCATCCTGATCTAGAAATCTAGTGAGGTAAACATGGCCTCACCTGTTTTCCTTTTCTTTTGTATTTTTAACCATTTTATCTTAAATGCTCTGAGCCTGAATGATTGCTCTTGAACTTCTATGTCCTTCATATTTTTTCCTTGTCCAAAGAATAATTCAGTAATTTAGGAGAAAGAGTCAATAATTATACTTTACTTAATGCATAGCCTCCTGGAAAAACCATATATTACTGGATAGCCTGGTGCTTCTCTGTTTTATAGAAAAATCTTGGATACAAAATTTATTTGTTATACTTGATATATTATTATTTTTCCTATCTTCCCACCTCTTCTGCCCTGTTGCGGGGGGTGTTTTTCTTCCTTAAAGTTAATTTTACCTTTTCTCCAGACACATGTTTTCTTAATACCTCTAGAATCCTAATCTGATCTTTTTTTAGCCTCATTCTGTGTGAACTTTTTGTTGACTCTTGGCCTTCAGCCTCTTTCTGTGTCTTTCTCTCTCCTGCGCACACAAATGCAC